GAGTGAACGGTTAAAAAGCACGCCCAGTACTGTTCCACGGGAGAACGCCCAGTAATACGGGGTGTCAGTGAACGGCTAAAAGTACGCCCGTATTCTTTCACAAGGGAACGGGTAGAATGTAAATAAATCAGCCTCAGTACGGCGTCTGGACCCCGTATAAAGTTTTGATACGGGGTCAGAACGCCCGTTCTAAAACTTTTTTAAGCTCTTGGGAGTAAAACCATGACATCTTCAGAGTGCGTTCTTCGTACAACAATTGAAATGATAATATTCCTGTACATTCTCCAGTTGAACAAGTATATTCACAATAAGTAGAATCAACTGATATGGGATTAACCAGAAATAACTGTAAATCACAATATTTACATTCGAACTAGGTATCATCACTGACACAACCAACAGTGCATTGCAGACAACTAACACACTCTGCTACTAAGTCAGTAAAAATCAGTACTCCCATAAAATGTTATGACATCACTGTTCCAATTTGTAAAACAAAGTTAGGTTGATATAAGTAGTATAGCATAATGAAAGCACAGATTAAAAACACAAGCAAATAAGAGACGATTATATATTGTGACAATAAAAATGGCGCTCATCAAGATAGATACATAAGTAATCAGAGAAAGATCACTTCTACATAAATTGTAAGTACTTACTTAGGAAGTACTTACTTACAGTGAACAAAGATTTATCGTTCAAAACTTATCAACTTACTCTGTAACCACTTGCTAAGGAAGTACTACATTTAAAGAACATTAAATGTGACGAAAGTTCGTTCACCACTACTGTGACGAAAATTCGCCTGATGCAACGAAATTTTTCGTGTGTGTAACGAAAATTCACACTTTGGTGACGACAGTTCCCGAGGAGGACCTCCCCCCAAGGAACTTTCGCCATGTATGACCAAAGTGCGTTCGTCATAATGACGAAAGTGTGGTGTGACGAAAGTTCCATAATCCTTTTATCTCAGTCGACTCATCATACCGCCAGTTACAAAGTTACGTATCCTTTTTTTTTCTTTTCTCTCCTGTGTTGAGAAAAATCGTTTTTACTGGTATCATAGTCATCAAGGCTTTTCGAATTAAGTCAATTTGACAATTTCCATTTTTTGACCTGTATACAACAATTGCAGCTCTACGACGATACCTGAAAAGATGAGCAAAAATGAAAGTTATCCAATTGACTTGAAATACACTTCATTCGACTCAGTCTTTTGTGCTGATGCCGAATCTGTATTTAGTTTATGACTAAAAGTCTTATTTTAATTCGAAAAGCCTTGATGACTACGATACCAGTAAAAACGATTTTTCTCAACACAGGGGAGAAAAGGAAATAAAGGATACGTAACTTTGTAACTGGCGGTATGATGAGTCGAATGAGATAAAATATTTGCCTTTATCACTTACGTAGAAAAACTAGTTAGGTTTACAAAATTGACCTATTTGTGGTGCACCCGACGCGATTCGAAGTGTCACCACCAGTAGGATTTTGGGTGTGGGGCCATTTTAGCAACATCTCGGTACTCAGTTTTTGATGTTGAATCTGAAAAGATTAGTTTCAGAAGCTGGGAAAAAAAACTAAAGTAGAAAATTTTACACATTTCGAAAACATCTTTACCACGCAAATTACGCAATTACGCAATCACCCTCACCCTTAAGAAAAACGCAAAATACGTTTTGATTCTCTTAAATGCGTTTTACTTACAAACTGATTGGGCGTTAAATAATTTGTTGATATTTTGCTATAGGTCATCGGTTATGGCGAATCTAATGAACATGTGCGTGGCCAAATGCAGTACATGCGTGCGCTTATGCAATACAAGTGCAAAAAAGCCATTTGTCTTGCCATACGGCTTCTAGAAAACCGATAAAAAGATTACCCTGTCAACACAAAAATTATTCTATTAGACAGTAGACACTTTGGGCTATCCAACCACGTCCTTTCTCAGAGTCGATATTTCTGACAAAAATCGGCATTTATGACCCGGAGGAGGGGTGGGGCTTAAGAAATTGGGGAAAACCCATTTTTTAGACTTTCTTTCTAGGTGGATGGAAAATAATGAAAAATCACGTAACCTTTTGTCCGCTGGGTAAAAACGTCTCTTTCTCCTACGTAAACAGCCTGTACTCTGAAAAGATAGAATTAATCCATTTTTGTAGTCCATCGTCTGGGCTATCCTGAGCCACTATTTGATGCTCATTAGCATTTGAAATCGATGGAGAAAACGGAAGATATAAAATCACTTAAACTTTTGTTCGCCACTTTATGTTTAAAGCCTACGTTCACCAGTTCATTCATTTTAATCCAATATACTGTTGAAAGTTTTCATTTTCTCTTATTCGGTTATCATAGAATCTTTTAAATGTTGTAACATTTGACCAGTTCGGTAAACTTAAAATTTTTTCCTATTCTTAGTGCCTGAACTCTGGCTTTTGATGTACCACTAATTGACATGAACGTGTTCGGAATTGTTGAGTATCTACAGTAAAAAAAACACAAGCAAAAATAGCAAATTTAGTATTGAACGATTCACTAAATCAGATCGAACGATTCCAAGAAAGTCAGCATTTCATTAAGGCTATGGAAAACAAATTTGAATGATTTATTTCAATTTGTTGACAGCCGATACTATAACATCACGAGATATCGATATATTTTTCAAAACGATCATCATGGATACACCGTTCGCAACGCTTTTCTCTTTAATCTTAGGTATCTCAAAAAATATACCAGGCAACAGGATCACTTCTTCTTCTTGTGGAACCTTGATATTTGTGAAACCTCGACTGCCTGATAACAATCTTCGGGAAAATCAAACTGCAATAAGGTTCCGTTACTGAACCACTCGGCGACTGCAAGCACTTTCGTCGTAGATGTCAGTCTTCGAATTTCCACTATATTCTTTTTCTTCAACACTGCGCTACATCACATTTCGTATGAAGTATGATCCGGGTCTCACCGCGATATAACATTCCTTTGAACGGTTTTCTATGACGCTCAAAGACACCAATATAAAGTTCAAGGTGAAGCTAGTGTCTTCTGTTAATCTAGGATACACATCAAACGGTATCGTAAGGATGATTAATAAATAATCAATATATTTTCGTTTTACGATAGAATTTTAAGTAGTACATACACCTTTCTGCGGTTTTTTGTGAAGTCAGTTTAATCAGTTTTTCTATATCATTAATATAATAATCAGGTGTTATCTTGAATTTATGAATAGCATAGATTCTCATTTGAACTTGAAATATTCGTTTAGCTATTGCTGAATTAGTCTGATTATTTCATAAAATTGAAAACGTTCTTTGTCATTTGTTATAGTAGTATTGTCAGCATTTTTCCTGTCCTGAAATAGTGTGCGTATATCGTCATCCGCAGATTCTTCTTCCGCTATGTTGCCATACCTGTTTATAATAGTTGTAGAAATATATTTCTGTTGAAGTAACAATTCAACGATTTCTTTATGTCCAAAGTAAGCAGCGGCATGCAGTGTGGTGCTACCATTTGGTTCGACACGATTGAGTTGTTCGTCATGGACTATTCGTTTTAAGATCTGTTCTACTCTCTGTGTATCACCATTTCCGCAGGCTGTATATAGATCACTAACTGCTGTAACATTTGGAGATTGGGTTTGGTCGTGAGTTAAACAATTACCCATTACCGTGGCAGAACAATTTTTTAACTCGATTGTGAAATGTGCAATGATTGATGCATATCACTCATGTTCTTTTCTTATGAATATAACACATCACATTATTACTACTCACGTTATCGATGTTTACGTTTATCAAAGAAGCTAGAAAACAAACTAAGTTAGCGTGAAACAATTTTTGGCTAAACTATTTATTAAGGAGGTCTTTTTGTCTTGTTCAGAAATGAAGATCATTCTACGGAACCTGTGAGTAATTTATATGTGGCATGTAAAGAGGGTAAATTGGATGAGGTCAAACAATTATTGACGACCTTGAATTATGATCATTTGAATCATCTTGAATCAAACGGTAGTACTGCGCTGCATGCAGCCACTTACTACGGACACTCAGAAATAGTCAGGTTATTGTTGAACCATGGGTGTTATACTTGGATCTTAAACAAATATGAACTCACACCATATCAAGAAGCAGCCACACCAGATATTCAGCAACTTTTCCGACGGGAATCGGACTCACGTTTTCGAGATGTAGAAAACAATGTGTATAAATGTTTTGAGTTTATTAATGCCAACGATAGTTCTCAGCCACTATATTTAACCGGCGAAAGTACAACAACTTCCAAAGGTTGGGTTGACGGTTATACAAACATTCAAAAGAAAAATCAAAACAGGGTTTTAAAACAGATTGTTCAAGCTCAAATGATGACATATTGTTTGAAAAAATTTTAAGGTGCAGATCGCGTACAGGACATTCGTCAATTACTAAAGAAAAGTGTACCTGTGGAACATCGTGATTGGTCCAAAGCTAATGACCTAATATGGAAGTTTCAACACGAGAATAATATCGAACATCTCATTCGTTTGTACACACTTCAGACACCGTTCTGCGGTGCACTACAGCGAAATGTTGAATCATTTGCGACTGAAATCTACAGACATTTGTCAAAGCTAGACAACCGAGCATACAAAGGACGAACACATCGTGGCTTGATAATGTCGTACACCGATCTGCATGATTATTACTGGGCAGTGCAAAATAAAAGTAGTCGTCTAATTGAGATTAAGACTATGTCTTCGACTTCGATTGATCGGAATGTGGCAGAATGTTTTACAACAAATCGTGCTGAGCATGATTCCTGTGGTGTAATGTGTATATTTGATTTTCCTACGAAATGTATAACAGCGATTAATCTGTGTCAAAAACCATGTTTGTCGGCATTCGAAGATGAAAACGAAGTGTTAGTGTTACCTGGAATATTATTTGAAGTTAAAGGAATACAAAAACATGATGATGGGGATAATGGTCGCTCTACGATTATACTTTCGAATATATCGGTTTCGAAAAAAATTATTATGACAGCCGTGAAAAGGTTTGAAAAGGCATAATGTTAGGTCTTGGAAAAGTATATCATTGCAAAAAAAGCTCAAATAATGTAGATTTATTTTAAGGTTGAATCTACTGTTTCATTTAATGGTACAGTCATCAATTCATTTAGTATATCTTGTTTTTCAACTTAATTATCCATTGTACAATGCATGGTATGCGAAAACTGTGTGACTATGCTTATATAATAGATTCATATGTACTTTTGCTCGACTGTAAATATTTTTGGACTGTACTGATGATGGGTCAGTTTGACTCAAAAGCTCTACAGCATATTTAAATAAATAAAATAATATTTGTGCTATATTAATAGATGATAAAGCTGCACAAAACAAACTACGTTGGACCTAGGAATTATCTTTTATAAAACTGATTGTGCGGCGGCATTTTTTGTTTCGTTTTCTTTGATTTTGAAAGTAGAATGACATTAATTTGCAAAGAATATCACATCAAAACTTCTGTGAACAAAGTTAAAAAAGACGATACTATAGAAGACTATAAAAGTTTGAAATGAGTCAAATATCAACTTATCGTAGCTTCGATACCATGCACACAAAGCTGTCTTTTAAAGCAATCTGCAAACGTTACAAAGCCGGACAGTAGACCGACTGTAACAGATATCTATCAAAATACCTAATACAGTTTCATTAACCTATCAGAATATTTCATTGACCTATCAGGTTTAACTATAACTAGGAGTGCATCGGTTCGGTTAACCGATGTTTCGGTTAAACCGAAACCGAAATAACCGAACACCGGTTATAACCGAAACCTAAATAACCGAACGTCGGTTATAACCGACGAAATTTTATAATGTGCTCAGTTTTGATTGTTACTGTTCTAGTTTTCAAAATTTGGATAAACTGAAATCAGAATTGCTGATTTTTTGCGCAGATATGATTTAGATGGCATTACTTAAATTATTTCTAGTTTAGAATTAAATTCTATGTCGATTAGGATCTTTGAGAAAGCCATTAATTAGACAAGGAAAAATGACTAATTTTAAGTGAGAAAAATGCACTACTTCTTCATACCAAGAAAGCACTTTCAAGACTCGCTGCTTGATGAAAAATACAAGATGCACGTAATGCAAACTTACAGTGGAATTTATTGTTCAGCTTATTATATACCATTCGATAGACCTTTTCAAGCAGATCAAGAATGTGTAGTTTTTAATTTTTCGAGACTTTCTTTTCGTGTGGAAAAACCAAAAATCAACCACTGGAAAAGAAGGGTGAGTCATTTTGTAAACCTATCTAGATTTTGTATGAGTCATTGGAACTTTCATTTGCACATCAATAGATTCTCTTGATGTTCGGCTTTAAACGTATGTCGAGCTTTTTTTCAAATTTTGTTTCGTTGCTGAGAAAATTCATTTTTTCTAAATTAGAGGCGAAAAAGTCGGAATTCTGCCCGTGATTCTCAATTTTCTCGATCAGAACTCAACGTTTCAGCAATAAAGATATCACATTCGGCACCAGGATCGTGGCGTTATTTGCACATATACATGTATATAGGACGGTATAATAATTGTTGGCATCAGGAATACGCTGTATCACTGAATTCTTATCAATATTCTTTCACGATAACAACGAGAACCAGAATTATCAACAATATTAACATTAATTTTACAGATAGATGAAATGTTTAAAATGATAAAATACCTAAGTTAAATATTTAGTGTTTCATATGTAAAACAGTTCATTAGTATTAAATATGTGCAATTATTGATTATTATTATTCACAATTGGTGTTGTTGATCTTGTTATTAGTCATTACTAATTCAATATCTAAAAACTTGTTTTTATCAAAAGATTTCCCCCCTTTAGTCTACTGAACATAAAAAAATTCACGTTTGGTTTCAAATCGGCTTTAGTAGATTGAATTTAATCTGTCAGGACATTTTGACATAAAAAAATCTGTCGGGACATTTTTTGAGTAAAATGCTGTTTTCTCGCCAACGGTACTTGCTTAAGAGCTGGAATTTTTACCATAGATCTACCATATTGTCAGCTAAAAAAATAAAAACTTTTTTTTTAACATAAGTCAACGATATGATATCTTTGACTTATCACTTATAGTTACCGAGAAATCGAAGAAACAAAATCAAAAATCTGTCGGGAGTAGTCATGCAACAATCCTAAACTAGGAATCGCTGATTGGCACCGAACGGTTTGTTACCGAACATGTTCGGTCACCAAACGGTTTGCCCCCGAACATGTTCGTTCACGGAGCGGTTCGCTACTGAACATGTTCGTTGCCGATCAGCGAGCCCTAGCTTGAGATGGTTGCATGCCTGATCTGGACTAAAGGCAAATTGAATGAAATTGAAGCTTTTGAAGGAACTAACCAGTGAGAAAATAGACTAAAGTACAATGTGAGCGAATGTGTCTTCTACTGAATCGCTACC